TTTTTATAAGATTCTTTTTAAAGGAAATTTTTACTTTAAAATACAGATAAAGATGATAAAGATAAAAGCTCTTGTAATACGTGTAGAGGTTATTAGAGATATCATATTGTAGAACTTTAAATGTTTACAAAAATAAATTTGTAAAAGTAGATTTCTATGTATTCCTTTTACAAAGGTCAAAGACCTTTATAATGTCATAAATAAGAACACTTCTACATAAAGTATTATTACAGATCTTCTAGCTTTAACATCAACAATTCAGTTTCACAGAAGAAAAAAATATACATTATCTTTTCTTGCTGTTAATCATTCAAAATCTAAGAAATTTCACTACATATTCAGGTTAAGATTCTACAAAATAACATCTTTGTATTGAAGCATGTATCAATTTTTCTTAGCGTGCTGTGCTTATAATTAATGTACATTTTAAAACAACACCACCAACAACAACGACAAAACAACATTTGTTTCGTTCCAGGCATTTAGAAATGATTCGATTGATTGAAATTATTATTTAAGCTACGAAAAAGTGCAATTTTTATCTCTGATAACCTCTACATATTTGATTAAAAAAAACGGAATCTATCTATTTATATCTACACTGATTTTCTTATATAAATGTTTATTTACATTTTCACTGTTGTTTACATTCACTCTGTGTGGTGCCCCTCTCAAGTTAACTATTAGAGAAAAGACAACAGCCTTATACTGCTAATGAGAACTTCAAACACAAATTACACTTTTCATTCACACCGCTTCTTGCACTGTAGGCCGGTGATAGTTTAAGCTTTTACTGCTATAATATATTAACTGATTGTCAACGACTACAATCAGATGCAAATAATTTAGTTTCTAAGTAGAAAATTTGGGAAACAAACTTCACTTCACTCTTAAGTTACTAATCAATGGAACATAATTTTATAGAAAGTTGTTTTTGTTTTTCTTAGAAAATGGGGCTTTAACAAGGTTATAATTATGTAACATTACATTTTATAGACTTTCTATATAGCCACTCTTTTCTGATTTATACAAGTTAGACAGGAAATAACATAGCAAACTTACTTAAAGTTGATATTTTTATTGTCGTCTATAAAATACCAAACGTTCTAACGGTTTTTCATTTCATTTTCAAAAAAATCGGACTAAATTTCAGATCTTATGTTTTACATGTAGCTACAGTTTAGCGGTTATTAAGAAGCTGTTTTTAATCAGATATCATTTCATGTTTGAAGCTATATCTTATTTTATTTTTATATGAAATTTATTAACAGTAAACTTATACTGATTCCATTATCTTTTGGTCAATTTTTGAAAATGTTGTGTCTGTCATTTAACACAAACTAGTCACAGGCGGCAGTATCAGTGTTTGGACACCCCACCCCTATCTGCCCCTGGACCCCTACTACAACCCTGAAAAAAAAAATCAACACTCTAAGGCTTACTATAAGGTACCAAATACAAAACCACCGATGAAATTATATAAAAAAAAAAATAATTTTCCACTATCAAAATTATAGTTATAGAAAGGTGTAAAGCCTACTATATGTCCATTTGCCAAACAATGTGGAACACGGGAAATCGTCGTTTCGGCGACTGAGGCGCATTCCGGCGGGATTTCGCTGCATCATTCATTTACATCAATAAAAAGAACTTGAATTCCACAGCTTACTTAATTCAAGTCCAATGAATATCAATATTCTATCGATTTTTTCTATTTCACGGTAATTTTTGACATGTCGTTGCCATTTTGGATTCTGATACCTGTGTGTTATACGCGATCTGATTGGACGTCCAATTTGGCTCGTCCAATCAGATCGCGTATTTCAACCCAGGTATCAGACTGCAAAATGGCTACGACAATTAAAAAAATACTGTGAAACAGAAAAAATCGGAATGATAGTGATATTCGTTGGACTTGAATTACATAAACTGAGGAATTCTAGTTCTTTTTATTAATGTTAATGAATGATGCAGCGAAATCCCGCCGGAATGCGCCTCAGTCGCCGAAACGACGATTTCCCGTGTTCCACATTGTTTGGCAAATGGACATATAGTAGGCTTTACACCTTTCTATAACTATAATTTTGATAGTGGAAAATTATTTTTTTTTTATATAATTTCATCGGTGGTTTTGTATTTGGTACCTTATAGTAAGCCTTAGAGTGTTGAATTTTTTTTCAGGGTTGTAGTAGGGGTCCAGGGGCAGATAGGGGTGGGGTGTCCAAACACTGATACTGCCGCCTGTGAAACTAGTATGCTATTATTTAAGGAGGACAATGGTTTATTGTTTAAAAGACAATTTATTACCAGATTATGTTCCAAACAAGCATTTTGGATGATTTCTTTAAATTCAAACAATATTTTCTTTTCTGCAGCAAAAATACAGCATTATGCACTTTAGCTGACACATCAAATAATAATATATTTGTGATATATGTCTTATTTGTGTTTGTCCCCAATATAATAATAATGCCATAATATTTTGGACAAACACAAATATGCTACTGTCTCCGACCCACTATTCTATTGTTATTCTAATAACATTTATCGTGATGGAAATATTATGTTGGTTTAGTTTAATTTCAATATTGTCATTGAGTCAATAGTCACAATTTTGATAATATACATGTAATATATACATGTAATATCATACTTTGTAATAGTAGACAGAGCACTGTGTATAACTTTTAAGTTTGTATATGCACTGATTTTCCTTAAAAGGAGATATTGTATTCAAAATTGGTATACCGCAAGCCTTGAAGACACTGTATGGGATTGCTTTTTGACCTTTGATGGTCACTGTTACTAAACTAAAAATAGACATGAGCCACCGCTGAGCAGGGGCAAAGCTCGACTTTTTAACTGTTTCTAAAAGCAACATAACAAACGGTTTTACCAAATCTTTTAAAAGGAAAAGTTTTTCCTTTTTAATTTTTATAGATCTGTAAAATCACACTTATTGTTTTGTCCAAGTATGACTTCTTTCCATTAATAAATGACAAAGTTAAGAAAATGAAAAAAAAAAATAATTTGAAAAATTGAAAATCATGGTCATTTAAAGGTCATGGTCATGTCTAAATTATTCATCATGTCTGTTTGATGACATGTTTTGATATGAATCAAGTCCTTACATAAATAAAAAATAAACATGACAACCAAAATTCAATACTTTGACCTTGACGGTCGTACAAAGATTGAGCTTAAGGTCAGTTCAAATTTTAGGATGTCATGTCCAAAATGTTGTTTTAATTGCCAGAGTATGAATACTACCTACTGATTGATTACAAAAGTACAGCCAATTTTAGCAATAATCAGTGAAAATAAAATAATTTGACCTTCATGGCCAAGGTCAATTTGAGTATGATATACATGAAGGTCGTCGTGTCTTCATTTGAGTTTTATTAATTTATAGATAACAAAGTCATATTCAGGTGCACAAAAATCAAAAGAAATGAAATTTTCAATATGACCTTCAAGGTCAAGGTCATTTCCGAATGAAGGTCAATGTCTGTCTGGTTGATTTGAAGGACTATCCTAAAAGATTATTATGATGAAGTGTGAAGACAATTTATTTAAAAATAACAATTATAGCAACAACAAAAAAGGCAAATTTTTTATATTTGACCTTGAAGGTCAAGGCCAATTGTGAATGAAGGTCAAGATCAGTCTGGTGTACTTAAATGTCTTGTCTCAACAGTTGCCGTGGCCAAGTATGATGACAATACACAGTAATGACCAAGTTACAAGTTAGCTGATGGCAACGGCAACGCGGTATGAGAAAAAAAATTTTTTTTTTTATTATTACTTTAAAAATAGAAAGGCTTTTGCCCCAGGGGTTAGGTCAAGTATTTTATTAAAAAATGATGGCTTGTGATGTTTGTTTTACATGAATGTTACATGATTTTATACAGGTCATTCAAAATTTGGCTATTTTTTCTTCATATTTGTCATACGTTAAGAACACCTTTAACTATGGCTTAAGTTTTTATTATGATAATTTATGTTTGTTCTTAGTTGAAGGGAAACAAATTTGTTATAACAACCAACGATGAGGTAGATGTGTGTAAAGAAGCAATAATGTCTGTAACCCAAAAGGCAGAGGAGTTTAAACAAATGGTTGAAGATGAAAAAAATGAAGTTAGATACGTAATCGACCAAGAAACGGTTAAAGCTAAGGAAAGTATACAAAAATGTCAAAATGATGCAGTAAAGGAATTCAACGAACACAGCGAAATTCTATACGAAAGAGTAAAAAACCTGGAAACAGACGTACCTGACAAAATAGAGAAATTAGAAACAGACATTTCTGAAAGAGTCGGCAAAGTGGAATCAGACATTTCTGTTTTGAAATCAGACATTTTTTCTGTGAAAGAAGTATACCATTCTTGTTATAACATATCACTTTGATTATACATATCTATCTTATCCTCATCTGACCGCTGTCAAAGTTAGTGTTCGTGATCAACTGATGCCTGTCTCTTGTCATGTGTGCGTGTGTTCTGGATGATAGCAGTTTAATCACTTATTCAATAATAGCCAAACTTACATAAAAGATTACTACCTCAGTCTGCTTTTTCATGAATAAGTTTAATGTCAAAGTTTTGATCTCTTAAAGAGGTATATTTGCATTGTTTTTGATCCCTTAAAATGACTATTTGCATTGCTTTTTTCCACGTTTCTTTTACGGTTTAGAAAAAACTTCTCGAGACTAGCGCGTTGTTGCCATATCATGCTTCTTCTTTTTTCTTTTTTTTGAAAACTTTTTGTAGCAAAAATATCTGCATAATTATGTAACAGTTAATATTAATAACGAGTGGATAGACAGTCCTGTGGTTTGGCAGTTTCGCATGACAATGGTTTCGTAATACATGTATATGTTAGTTAAAGTCACTTAAGTGAGCGATTTATAGCCATTATGATCATTTTGTTTAATTTACAACTTCCGTTATGGTTTAACACAAATTCAAATTATTTATAAAGCGTAACTTGTCGTGTAAACATGTTGCTTGTAACAGTCTTACAATATCTTAGTTTAAATGTATGTTTAAAATATATTCAATTAAATGAAATTAATATGATCATATCTAAAATGACAGATTTGTCATATGTTGCTTTCAGAGAGTGGAGTCACTAGAAAGCAAAGTTAGAGAACTAGACAGTAAATGTGATATATACAAGAGGCATTTAGATTACGTCAAAGGGAAACAAGGTAAACATTTCTTACAATTATTAGCCATATTTTGGAGTAGTTCCTTATGATTAGGACAAAAGTTTGAACAATATATTTTCCCTCTAGATGAGAATTTTTTGGAATTTACGTTTTCTAACTGGTAACCTTCATCAATAATATTGCATGTCAGCTTATATGTAAATTTCCACCAAAATTTCAAGGAATTATTAATTAACCTTCACTATGTAGCAACTGTATTTTTTCGATTGATATCTTTGTAAGGGCAAAAACAATTTTTACATAAAAACCCTTTCATAGTCTGAAAGTAAAAAAATTATTGCAAATAATTAAAAAAGGGGTTTTTTTTGTGTAAAAAATTTTAATATTTTAATTTTATATAAAAAGAAATAAAAAAAAAATGATTTAATACGTTTTATTTAAACATTTAAAAATATGATTAAAGAAACATTTTAAAAGTAAATCTGCTTACCATTTCTTGATAATGATATACTTTAAAACATCCGGGCATATTGATGTAACAATAAACATACAATAATGAGACTTCCATTGACTATACTACTTACTAACTTGAGTTGAGCATTTAAAGCATTCCTGTCATAAAAGCAAAATATCGACAATCATCTTAATAACACTTAAAATAACTGCCAATAACCTAGTAGACGATCTTATATTGTCCGCACTGTCTAGGAAGATTTTACTTTTTTCACAGAGTTACAAGCCCAACTTGTTAAATATTACAAGAAGCATTATGTAAAGACATCACTTTCACCTTTGAAGCAACAACAAGATGACATTAACATTAAAGATGTATATGTAACCCCCGAGATAGAAGTCATTGAGGAAGAAAAATGTGTGAATATTGATAAAAATACCACAAAGAAGCCAGGGAAAAGATATACAAAAGGATATCATGAAATCTTTCAAACAAAAGGACAGCAACATAAAAAGATATATATATTAGGCGATGTTGGAACAGGAAAGAGTACATTCTGCAAAATGATGATAGAAAACTGGTGTAACGCTGTGAGTGGAAGGACCAATGAATCGGTTTGCAATGAGAATGACCTAGAAAGATCAGAAACCGTGTCCAGTGATATAAATATGGCAAATGAGTTTGATGATGTCTGTCAGATGGGACAATATGAATTTCTTTTCTTTATCCCACTACAATATATGGCAGGCTTAAGGTCTGACGACGTTGTTGATATGATTAAAGAATTAACAAGACATCTCACTTCAGATACGGATTTGATTGACCGAATATTTCAGGAAGATTCAATGCGTTGTCTTATCATTATTGATAGTTTGGATGAATGGAGGCCACCTAAAGATGTTGTGCGTAGACCACATGTTAGCTACGGGATACCAAACGGAGACAGAGCTAAAGACGCAACAGTCCTTACATTATCAAGACCATCAGCAAAAGGAATTCTTAATTTAAAAAACTCAGAAATTGATCACAAATTACATTTATTAGGTATATGTATTAGCTCACTGAAACCATTCATCGAACGATATATTTCAAAGACAGCCTCAACCCAAAAGTCTTACAATGAATTCATTACAATTATTAAAAGAAAGCAAGTTGGTCATATAGAGAAAACACCGTTGCTTTTACAGCAAATACTGTGGTTATATTGTTATGGAATTGATATGGAAATTGGAAAATCTGTAAGTAAAACTTACTGTCAGATTTTGAATATAATGTGTGGTTGGTCAGACCACAAAGTTGACGGAAATGATGTACGAAATGAGGTAATAGGAGATGAAAATATTTTTTTGCCTGAAAATATGCAAATTCCTAGATTTAGCAAACGAGTTTTATTTCTTATGGGTGCTACTGCATTTGACATTTTGACTTCCGGCTCGATTAGAAACATATTTGGGCGACAGCATCTTCTGGAGAATGGACTATTTGTAGATGATGTCACTAAGCTACTAAAATTTGGTATCCTTAAAGAAAGCAACTGCTTTGACCCAACACAGGAAGATACACAATTTTCTTTCATCCACATGTCTTATCTCGAGTTCTTTGCCGCTTTGTATGTGACCTCAAATGATAACACGAAGGAAACCAAATGTTTGAGAGAAAAAGGAGATGAAAAACAGGAAGTTTTAGAAAAGCTTTTTGGTACATGTAAATCTGCTAGTGACATATTACAGTTATCTAATGTTATAAAAATGGTCTGTGGTTTGTCTCCCATCCTGATTGGTGATTTGTCTAAGCGGATATCATGTATTGTGAATGAGGATGTACATATTTTATATCTTAGAAGACATGGATATAAAATGTCTTTCAGGAATGATGAGATTATTCAGATACAACGTCTTATGGTAGAATGTCTCAAAGAGTGTGGCTCTTTTGATAATACAATGATCAGTATCAGCGATCTATGCATAAATGATATTGAACCCAGTATACCTCTACAAAGAATCAACACAAATGACGTGATTTCTCTGAGTTTTGAAGATATAACAAGAAAACATGTAGTGGACTACATCACACAATGCAAGCAATTGCAACATGTTTATATTAAACATGTCTCCTTCAGTTATGAAGAACTTTCATTCTTATCACAGATAGAGTGTGTTAAACAATTGACATTGCGTGGGGTAAAGGTTGAAGATACTTTACAACCTGGTATAATTGACCTCTCTAGCCAGAAACAGCTTCAGATACTTGAGCTTATCTCCTGCATGAATATTAGAATTTCTTACCTTGTTACTGAACATCTTGAGCAAGTGTACATTAAAGACTGTCCTAACGTATTAGATTTTAAACTTTTATCAAATGCCATCAGACTGACTGATGTTTACATTGAGGCGTATTATAGAAATTGGGAAACATATCATCAACATCATATCATTGATATGTCTAGACAGAATCATCTCAGAAAACTTACAATCGTTAATAATCCTGGTATAGAAATTACAGGATTAAACTTTGAACAACTTGAAGAGGTAAATATTCAATATATATATGAATGTAACAATTCAAAAGATCAGAAACTTTTATCGTATTCAAGCAAAAACATGGAACTTCACGTTAAAAATCACACGACCAGTGAAATAGCACTTATACCGTTATTGCAAAAGACAACTTTAAGACAGGTGACATTGGATAACGTTAAATGTGACCAGGAGAAACATCTTAATATTGATCTGTCTGGACACAATTATCTCCAAAAACTTACGCTGATAAAGTGTCCCGGTATTGTTATTACAGGATTAAACACTGAACAACTTGAAGAGGTAAATATTCAATATAGATATGAATATAACAATTCAAAAGATACGAAACTTTTATCGTACGCAAGCAAAAACATGGTACTTTACGTTAAAAATCTCACGATTAGTGAAGCAACACTTATACCGTTATTGCAAAAGACAACTTTAAGACAGGTGACATTGGATAACGTTAAATGTGACCAGGAGAAACATCTTTATATTGATCTGTCTGGACAGAATCATCTCCAAAAACTTACGCTGATAAAGTGTCCCGGTATTGTTATTACAGGATTAAACACTGAACAACTTGAGCACCTACTCATCGACAACGATAATCATTATTTACATTCTAACGCTACTTTACCAGCATTAGAGTTTGAACTTCCATCAAGTGCCAGAAAACTCATAAACCTTTACCTTTGTGGTCAAACTGTTAATACAAAAACATTGGAAATATTACAACAGAAAACTTTAAGACAATTGAATATGATACATGTATCTGGAGATCAGCACGATATACATGTAGATCTATCTAAACTAAAGCATCTTCAGATTTTAAAACTGTCAGACTGTAAAAATATTAAAATAAGTGGCATCAACACTGAACAACTTGAATCAGTACACATTATTAATTGTAAGTGTGTGTTTGATTTTGATCTTTCATCAAATGCAAGTAAGCTTAGTGAAATCAATCTGAAATGTCTTACAGGTAATATGGCATCACTGGTTTTATTAGTAGAACATGCACCTTTAAGACATCTTGCATTGATTAATGTTAGTCATTGTCAGCCTAAAGTTGAAGGTCAAACGCATGAAATACATGTAGATCTTTCTAAACAAAACCATCTTCAGATTCTTAAGATGTCAGACTGTAAACAAATTAAAATTAGTTATCTCAACACTGAAGAACTGAAAGAGGTACACATTAGTAAGTGTAAGTGTTTGTTTGATTTTGATGTTTTATCAAATGCATGCAAGCTAAGCGAAATTCATCTGGAAGGTCTTACTGGTAATATGGCATCACTAGTTTCTTTAGCAGAACATGCCTCTGTACGACAACTGACTTTGATAGGTGTAACTCATTGTCAGTCTGGAGTTGAAGGTAAAATGCCTGAAATAGATGCAGATCTTTCTAAACAAAACCATCTTCAGATTCTTAAGCTGTCAGACTGTAAACAAATTAAAGTTATTGGGCTCAACACTGACGAACTTAAAGAGGTACACATAAGTAAGTGTAAGTGCCTGTTTGTTTTTGATATTTTATCAAAGGCAAGCAAGCTAAGGAAAATTTGTTTGGAAGGTCTTACCGGTAATATGGCATCACTGTTTTCGTTAGTAGAACATTCCTCTTTAAGAGAACTGACTTTGAAAGGTGTAACTCATTGCCAGTCTGATGTTGAAGGTCATATGCATGAAATGCATGCAGATCTTTCTAAACTTAACAATCTTCAGACTCTTAAGCTGTCAGACTGTAAAGAAATTAAAATTAGTGGTCTCAACATTGAAGAACTGAAAGAGGTACACATTAGTAAGTGTTTGTTTGATTTTGATATTTTATCAAATGCACGCAAGCTAAGCAAAATTCACCTGGAATATCTTACTGGTAATATGGCATCACTGGTTTCGTTAGTAGAACAGGCTTCTTTAAGACATCTGGCATTGATAGGTGTTACTCATTATCAGTCTGAAGTTGAAGGTCAAATGCATAAAATACATGTAGATCTTTCTAAACAAAACCTTTTGGAGGAACTGGAGCTGTCAGACTGTCAAAATATGAAAATAAGTGACCTCAACAGTGAATACCTTCATTGGGTACACATTGGACAATTTCCTGATATATCAAACATTAACCTTTTAGCAAATGCCAGAGAACTGAGCACACTCTGGTTTACAGGTAAAAAAATAGGCGACAGATATCAATTCAGAAAACACGAAGGTTATGTAATACATTCATTACATCGACTTAGAACACTCAAACTACAGAATGTAGATATTGATGCTTACGCTCTTACTTTAATACCAGAGATGTTCTTTCTTAAAAATATTTTTCTAGAAGATACAAACATGAGTATATACACGTGGCGTGCATTTGTAGACAGTATTCTTACTCTCCAACAATCTGTTATCATCGAAGTGTTTGATTCACGTTCATTCCTTAATGAAGAACAAATAGTGAAACATCGCTATGTTAAAAACAACACATTGTTTAAAATGACACAGGATAAAGGAGCCCTTTGTTTTTGCTTTCAACGGAGAGAGCCTGAATGAAGAATATAACGTTATTATACTTAATTGGGTATGATAGATGACATTTAATATGAATCAACACCAACAGATCAGGTCATACAATATGTTAACATTCAAAAAGATCAGAATATAACTCATTTTTTGTTAAAAAGAATTAAATTAGAAGCAAACTGTTTCATTTTCCAATGTATAAAGTTTGAATTGTGTCCCTATCGTTTGGTATTTATGCACAAAATGTGCATGGTACATTGTTGCTGTTAATAGTAAGATTTTTGTTTTAAAGAAATCAATAAATTATTGACTAAACGCTTTGTTTTTCCTAAATTATATTAATAATATATGATGATTCCTATGGAATTTGAATTTTTTGTATTAATATAATTTTAGAAAATTGTGAAGGACACACGTTATAAACATTTAGTATGGGAATTTCAAATGATACAGCTGAGAGACAGTGGATATATATTTGAAAACTATTATACAAGGACAAATTGCTTTTGTTGTACTAAAATGAACATGAACATGGTGCTTCCTTTATGTATATAGTTATAGTGACATTGACAGAAGGAAAGTATTTAAGTAACAATGACATAATATACATGTATTATTATATGTTTGTCCGTATACATAATACGCGAAATTACTTTTTTTCATTATTGTTTCGAATTATTTGTAAATTGCAGGAATAGTGTTTGAAATTGTTTTTGTTCAATAGAACTGCAATATTTCAAATGAATCGTTACACTATTAATTGTACATTGGCGTTGATTTATCTCATAAGTAAATTGACTGTTTTCTTAAAGGGAGACACAGGCAAAAGTGACATTTCAAACCCAAAGTATATAGAATTTATACAGAATTCATGCTGGGACTTTAAAAATTGTCATCTAAGTACGATTTAAGTACATAAGATCATTTTAATATTTTTGTCTTTAATTTGCATGGGTATTCGTTTAACATAATTTTAACCAGTTGTACATATGTTCGTGTTCTTTTGTAAGATTTACAAAATTAAAATGTACTCTAAATTTTGCAAATTCTTACAAAGAATATAAATAAATATAAAGAGTATACAACAATATCCTCTTACCTCTGGCTTAGAATGCTGTGGATATCAATTGTCAATTATTTCATATTTTGGTGATATACATAGAAAATCATATCATGTTTTGCTGATATACGTAGTAAATTATTTCAGTTATATGTGATATAAATAGTAAAATCTGTCATTTATGGTGATATAGTCAATTATGTCTTATTTTTGGTAATTGATATAAATAATTTATTCATCATATTTTGATTATATAAATAGAATAGTCAATTACGTCATATTTAGTGATACAAATAGCAAATAAATTTTATCATATTTTCGCAATGTAAATAGTCAATTAAGTCATATTTTTGTGATATAGATAGTCCATATTATGTTATATTTTGGTGATATAAAAGTCTATTCTGGCATATCTTAATGATAGAAATAGTAGTTTTTCATATTTTGGTGATGTACATAGAATCGTCAAATCTGTCATATATTGGTAATTGAAACAGTCATATTTTTGTAATATAAATAGTAAACTCTGTCACATTTTAGTGATACAAATAGTAAATACTTTCATGTTATGGTAATACGGATATAAGTAGAACAAACAATTATGTCATATTTTGTTGATATACATAGCCAATTCTGTTATATTTTGGTGATATAAATAGTCAATTCTGACATATATATATTCTCTATTAGGATATTCTCTCACATGTTGGTGATATAAATGTCCAATTGTCCATTCTGTTAAATTTTTAGTGATATAGCTAATTATGTCATATTTTATTCAAAATGTCACATTGATTGTGGATATCTATGCATTATCAATCTTTAACGTCTCTCAATTTCCCAAATATTTATTTTCTTCTCTAGAGGCGTGTCATTTTAAAAAAAAGTATTTGCTGTATAAAGTGAAATGAAAAATATCGGCTAAATGCAGATATCATCTTAGTCCTATTTTTTATTTTATATCTGTTAATAACATTGTTTGAAATACGTTTGATTTAGTAATTGTTTGATATTAAGCTATCTTCTATTCATAGAAAAATCTGGATGAAAGGCTGTGAATTAACATTAATTTTGTGAAAAGCTCTGAACAAAACCCACACAGCGTATTTTAGAGAATTGTGGTTCAATCCTTGAAGCAAAGTGATACCATGAAAGTTTATTTAATTTTATTCCAAATAATTCCATAATTACCTCACATGTAATCATTTGTTAGTTCTACCACAAAATATCCGGTGGTGGTTAATAAGTTTTGTTCAGTGCATGTGAAACTAAGACAATGTATTGATATTATACTATTGTCGAGATTTGCATGTACATGTACCTATAATGCACAAATATATTGACTGCTATTGATGTTTAACATTTATTTTGTCTGTAATATAATGTGTTTTGTTATCATATGACACTGAAGTGTATAATTATTATATACGAGGGTTGTCCCAAAAGTCCGTGACAAATTTTATAGCCGGTTCATTTTTAACGCCAATAGAAAATAATTCACACATATAACCGTTAAGTTTATTATTTAACATTACAACAAATCATTTTCAAAAAATTTACCCTAGTTACTTAGAAATTTTCAGTATTAACGACATTGGTTTGAGTTGCCGGCGCACGTCAAATAATTTTGTTATGAATAGGCTGAAATTAATTACGTATATTTCAAATATCTGATGATGTGTCTGCACAAGGTCACGTTGACTTCCTCTGCTGCTATGTTTATATCATCTCTGAATATTTTAGTTAGATAACTTAAAAAACGAAAAAGATACGAATAAATGAAAATATCTCATATAAAATAGGAAAGTTAAAATGGCGACGTTCGAAGAATTTGCGGCGCAGTGAACATGTCACTCAGGTTTCATGACTATTTCGAGATGACACATGTAACGATTTTCAACAAATATACCAAATATAACAGTTTAGCAACATATTCTGAGCATTTGTGAACAAAAGGCATAAACGGAACCAGAGTTTTGCGCTACAAAAAGCGAAAATAAGGAAAACACGGATAGGAAGACCGATCTTCGTCGCCTATTTCCTACAGCTAACAACAGGAGTAACGAGACCGGAAGTTCGCGTATAGCAAAAATTAATGTATGCCATCCAAACATTTAACAGACATTAACAACCACATGATTTAAGTCAGAAATTGACGATTTATGGGTACCATTATTGCGTTGAAAGCCATTGAGGGTATTTGAGAAAGGCACCTTATATAGATTTAACGCCGTCTTTGGCGTTGGACGTGCGCCGCGATTCAGTTAGTTGCCATGTTGTTTATGGTATATTTTTGTTGTTTGTTGATATTTATCTATGAAAATTTGTGAAAATGTTTAAATTATATGGGTTCATAACATATCAAAATATCAAATTCGTACCTGTTTTACTTAGCTTTTAAACAATCTTGTCACAGAATATTGGGACAACCCTCGTATTAACTGTTATGTGGTCAGCAAAAAGATTTCTGACATAAAATAAAGTAATAATAAAGCCTCGAAATTGATTCGAGTACATGAATCAAATACGCCAAACAGTGAGCATGTGTATGACAAAATAACATACATTGTGAATTTCTTATTTTGTAACTGTATGTGTACAAGTTAAACATACATTATGTTATTAGAGTGAGAATACACATATATAGAAAAGAAATCCTTTGTTTTGTATTTTAAAAATTCGGTAGTAGAATTTGACGACTTGGGTATGACATAAAATAATCCGTATTTCACTGAGATAATTGCTTAAAACTAGTCATGTTTCTCTTAGGTTGGGTTTCATATCGCACCAACACCGTTTTACGGTAAAGGTCATATGACAACTTTCCCATTACTTTAGGCACGAATGAATCTCTTGACTAGAACCACCATCATTCTGCAAGCTACCTGGATATATATATAGCTTCTTCACATGAAAGATTCCAAAGTCCCTGGCGAGATTCGAACCCACAGCGGTAAGAGGCATGACTTTAAGAAAACAACGATATATCACTTCTATATCCCATGAATTAAAAATTAAAAGATACCTAGTGAAAGGACATTATTGTGAAATTAACAACAACACTTCGCCAGTTTGAAAAAATCGTGAAGAAAAATATCTGAAATACTTGGAGTAACTACATAATTAAAGAGGGACAAACCAAAGAAGGAGATAATTAAGATGTTAGTCTCTAGAACCAATGATTATAGGATCGGATCAAAGCTATGTTTCCACACAATTCATCAGTACTGGTTATTTCCCGGAAAAAAGTTGCTCATGCAACTATGTTTTTAACCGACATCTGACCATATCAAAAGTTTAACAGTATGTACAGTGATGGACATATTGCGACTTTGCAGCTCTATCCTCGGATGACCCTCCCTCCGTTTATTATGCTCCCCGAAAAAATCGGGGGAGCATATAGTCGCCGCCTTGTCCGTCCGTCCGTCTTTCCGTCCGTCCGTCCGTCCGCTTTTCTTGTCCAGGACATAACTTTGAAACAACAAGATGTATTTTAAACTTTGAACTTTGTGCGGGTCATAACTGTAAAAGTATCAGAGGTATCAACATGAAACTGATGTAGGTAGATATATCTCATTGAGTAGGTGTGCAGTGCAGAAGAACCGTAACTCTGCCTTGCCTAATTTTTGAATTATCCCCCTTTGTTTATTTTACACTTTGAACATTGTCCAGGTCATAACTATAAGAGGTATCAACATGAAAATTTGTAGGTAGATAGATGTCATTGAGTAGGTGTACAGTGCACAAGAACTGTAACTCTGCCTTGCCTGGTTTTTAATAATTCCCCTTTGTTTATTTTTACACTTTGGAATTTGTCCGGGACCTTACTCTAAAAGTATAAGAGATATCAACATGAATCTTTGTAGGTAGATAGATTTCATTGAGTAGGTGTGCAGTACATAAGAACCGTAATTCTGCCCTGCCTATGGTTTTTAATTATTCCCCTTTGTTTATTTTCACACTTTGAACTTTCC